CACTAACACCATTAGATACCAATCTAGAGGTTAGGTGCTCACACACACAAGACTAAAAAGTCCTAGGTCCGATTTCCTCATACAATATCATGAATACACAATGCTGATGATTTCCGTACTAAAATGAAATAGCCATTCAGTGCTTCCAAGTTTTCCATAATTATCTAGATTAGATCAACTCATGAATACAACTATAAAAAAAATAAAATAAATAAATACACCTACACACCTACATCTGTATAGATCGATTTACTGACACACACAAAGTAAACATTAACTTATTTAGACAACAACAAGAACAGCAACAACAACAAAAAAATTGTTTTTTCTCGTCATTTTCTCTCTTTTTTTTCTCTACGCTACACACACACACAAAACAAATACTACAAAAAAATTTATGAAAAAGAATTTTTTCACATATTTTTTTCGTTAAATTTTATTCTTTTCATTTTTAATGGTTTAACTGACTTGAAACAAAAATGCAAAAAAATATTGTTTCTATGAAATTTTTCATAAAAGAAAAGAAAAAAAGTTTTTTTCATAAAAAAAATTATTAAAAAAAGGAAAGTTTAATAAAACAAGTTTATAGAATAGAAAAGATTAAAGAGAAAAAACCACTTAAGTTTTGTAATGAGAAAAACGCGCGCGCGCGCACACACACACACGCACACACATGACCCTTTAGTAGAATCGATTATAACTGAGGTGTGTGTTTTCTTCGTTATTATTATTATTATTGTTATAAAAAACAATAAAAGGAACAGTATTATATTCTGTCTGAGTAAAATAATCATTTGAATAGTTCGCCTAAACTGATGACAGATTTAAAACAATGAATAATTCAATAGATCATTTAACTGATATTACAATTGATCCTTTTGTTTTAGTCTCGTTTTATAAATATTTGAAAATCGGTGTATGATATGAATTGAATAGACACAAGAGGTATTTTAGTGAATGAAAATATATAAGTGGTGATAATCGAATGTATATGGATATAAAATGACAGAATCACTTAGTTGTTATGACTTTATGGCCTGTTAGTTATTACGTAATTTATTCTTTAATCAAAATATGACTTATTTGTTCTTGTACTGTACTAAAGCGATAACGTCCAACTGGTCTGATCAGTTTAGCGTCCTATTGGTTTTTTGCTTGTCTAGCCTATCCAGTTGAGTCTAGAATGCTGATAACAGATTCCACTATGCGACTCATTTTTTTCAGACATACTGGGTTTATATATCAGTCAAACAGACCGCATCGCACCATAAAATAGGAAATAACATTCATATACAAATAAGCCAAAAAGTGGCTGTGAACGTGGGAGACAGTAATGAATAAACTGAGTATAACATATGAACAGTAAATCGTACAATAATAATCTATAAGTCAAAATGAAGCTTATAACAAGAGGAATATATATATATATATATATATATATATATATATATATATATATATATATATATATATAAAATCTAAATACTGAATAGTTATACCATAAGAATATATAGATAATATAGGTCCATTGATAAGTCTCAGAAGTTACTCGTAATTTAATCTTCATTAAGACATAACATTAGTAAGATATGAGGACCATACAGTAAATAGTTCATTAACGAAATGTTAGTCCATCATTTCAGACTTGATTGTTCCTTCATTTCCACACAGATCATAATTTATTTTTATTCTCTTCTCTTTAATCTTCTTAATCTTCTGCTGCCAGGTATTTCACTTTTGATTAATGTTACATACTACTTATATCTGTCGACATCAGTAGCATACACTACAGTATTTAGTTTTTAGAATAGAAAATTAAAAATGAGAATTGTATTCACTTACTTTTTTCTAAAAAAGAAACAATGATTATTATCAAAAGGGGTCTTGTGGAGATTTTAGTATTTTCTATAGTTGGAATCATGAGTCCATTGAAGCTAGATACCGTGGAAAACCTAGAAGCACTGAACGGTCGTTTCATCCTAGTATGGTAGTCCTCAGTTGACTCATAATTTCAACTATTGAAATTTCTAAAATCTCCACAAAACCCCTTCTGATAATAATCATCAGCTCACTAGTGACTGACTTCAAGAGGCATTTCCTGGAGTCGTAGTGAGAAGCTGTTGCCAGTGGAGTGCAATCAAGTCTGTTGTGAGATATCAGCTCACTGAAGACAATGGTGGACGGTCGTGCAATTTTGTGGAATGGTTGAAGTCAGACATTAACACTGTTGGATGGCGACTCAGTGGTCTAATGGTTAAGCGTTCGCGCGTGAGAGTGATAGACCCCGGATTCGAGTTTCTCGGGGGCGGGATCATGGATGCACATTACTGAGGAGCCCCATACTGGACGAAACGACCGTCCAATGCTTCCAGGTTTCCCATGGTGGTCTAGCTTCAATTGACTCATGATCTCAACTATTAAAATAATGATTTGTTTAAATGTACATGTAAATAATATCAGGAAATTATTTCTTTAAACTATTCTGTGGATCAATTTCTATTATTTTAGAGAGAGAAAAAAAAAGGAAAATTGTATTATTTTTCTTTTACTCACCAGAAAAGTCACTGATATAAACAAATAAATGAATGTCATAGGTTTGATGATGAAATGAGATCATATGGAGATCTTTCAAAAATTACAAAATAGTGTAAATAGTTAGATATGATAGAGTTGTAGATTAACCATTGTTTATTGTGAAACGTTCTCAGCTGATATCAGGTATTAATGAAAATCAATTATTTTTTAACGTCTCTATAAAATCACTAGCTGTTTGAATGTAACTACCAAGAAGTCCTAGAGACAGATTTCGTGTTACTTTTCACACGTCAACAAGACATATCTATAATCTTGAGTTCATTGATGTTTTATTGATGAATTAGGATCTAGGCCATTTAGTTTTACAATGTGAAATATTACTAATATACTACTCGGATATTACCAGACCTTCTATAAAGTTGTGATATTGACGTTGAACAATTATTCAATGTAGTTATGTGCTTTTGCTTATGATAATGTTATGAGAAAGAAAAAATACTTGTGATTAGACTATTATTAGCTTCATTTATAGACATTTGTATCCTGATAGAGAACGAGAAACTATCAATAAAAAGTGTAAGTTGAGGAAAATCATTCAAATGAAACGACATAACTAATATGTACTTGGTTTTTTTTATCCGACATGCTATTTTAGCCTATTCATACAGAATTTAATTTTAACGATATTACGGGATCGTGGATGCCCACAGCTGAGGAGTCTAAAAGTAGACCGTTCAGTGCTTACAGGTTTTCCACGGTGATCTAGCTTCAATTGACTCATGAACTCAACTATTAAATTGTCATAATATCCACAAAAACCCGTTCTCATACTACTTATAAAATGTTAATCAGTTTGACGAAACTAGTCAATAAGTAATTGTAAACATCAGTCTCAAGATAGTTCGCAACTGGATCGATAGAATTTGATCAACATTAAATAGACTAGATAAACAGGAAAATGATCATTGTCCGGTGATTAATTAACTGTTAATTACACAATATAGATGTAATTATAATATTTTTTTGAGTAATATTACCTAAGGACTAGTAGTGTTATCTTACTATTGAATCTATTGATCGGTAAAGCTGATTTCGAACTGTAGTCTTGTTAGTTGAGTCGTGAATGGTTTAACCAGTGAATCACTGTTTTCTGTTCACAATTTCTAGTTTGACAATAAAATATTCACCATAGACATGGGTGGATGGTGCCTAGCATTGACACACAAGACACGCGTTTCGTCTTATTCGTGACTTGTCAGTTGAATGTACCTGCATCCCAGAGTTGATATTCATATCAAGACTCGACCCAACCGCTGTTCACGTTCTGGATGAAACTGCTAGCCACCATCATATCTTTTGTAACGCTTGTGATTTAAGGCAATATCGAGGCAATCTGTACAGAATGCACATATGCCAATAAGAGATTAATCAATTACAGTCCTAAACATCAATGGGAAGATTCAAACAACCAATACAAAATGAATTAGAAGTATTCATCATTAGATAATCTTACTCAAATGGATTATCACAGTTAATAAACACTTATTTAACCTATTTGAAAATCTCTTCATCACTTCAAAATAGATTATTACTAATTAGTTAATTTCATAACAATTCATTCTCTTTCATAATTGTAAAATATACCAACTGAAGAAATGATGAAAGAATTTCATACATTCTTTTAGTGACTATCGGTACACTTTCAAGGCCATCCAAAGGTAAAGCCATCATCCAATAGCTCATTAGTGATATTTGATCTCTGATTCATTGTGTAAGTACGGATTTCATTGACAAAGTAATAGGAAACTAAGCAGCATTAAACACCGTTTCAAAAGTTCTAATTTAACGTGTTATGAAGTCGTCCACTATGTCATATTTAACAGTAAGGAAGACATGTTACTGTTTTTTAAAATGTATGATTAAAAGTTTTTGCATGATAGTCATAATATTTCGTGTTTGTGGGCAGTTGTGGGAGGTTTAGAACTTCGTCATCCAGTGTTACATTCATTTGAGTTATTTACTCTTCTGTTCATGATTAAGATTTTCATATTGATTCATAAATGATTATTTATGAACGTCTACAACAATCCATTTCAAATTGAATTGAAACCCACACCCATTGCACAAGTAAGCGACTATCCGGACTCAGTAACTAAGTGGATATCAATATGGTGTTTGAGGCGAACCCACTAGGAATCGAATCCAGAACTTTCAGATTTTGTATAAAGCACTCATCTTTTAGACTATTAAGTTGATGTCCAACAATTTGTATATCTAACCTCAATCAGTTCCCTATATTATATAACCATCTTCCAATGCTTTTGCTGGGTAACTACCTAATATATAGGAACGCTGGATCCCAGTGGTATATTTGCGTTCACATTTGTCTTAGACAGATATTTTTTGGCATTGTCTAATAATGTCATCTCCATTCTCCTTTCCTCATCCAAAAAATATATCTATAGGTATATGTCAGCACATCAGATGTACAAATGCATGCAAATTATCATCGTAAAGATGCTGTTATTATACAAGAGGGTTTTCAACGATTTCGTGCAACAGAAAATTGTGGTATTACCAAATGTCCATTTTATAAAGAATGTACTACACATTTTCATTGTCGACGTAATAACTGTCACTTTACATTTAAAAATAAAGCTGATATGGGTAAGTGGGTTTTTTATTCGGCAAACAATATTTTATATTATAAATTCTACACAAATGTATGTTCGTAGGAACGATCGACAATTACGTAATAGTGAATCACGTTCTTAGCAACCTACCTAGAAGTGTCTACTGATAACCAATGTACTTCAACCGTTATGGTTACATTATTAACCATAATGGTTAACATTTCCAAAGTTGACTAATTTAACTGGTAAGCAAAATATTCACAACATAAAATAACTTGTCACCTAAATACCTGATAGTAATATCACATACTACTCAGGTAAGATCATAATCACTCGATCACAATGATGAGCCATACAAGTTTGATATCCAGTGGTTGGAATCATTCATCAGTATGTAGTATGTATACTATTTATAGGTTTGAACTATTTTTAACCTAGTCATAGTCAGAGAGGTTTTAGTAAGTTATATCGGCCTCAATTGGCTCTTTAACAGTGACCAATATCATATTTTTTAAAATGTTGAGTGTTGAATAAATTCTGTCGATCAGCCCTTCATTCTGTATCGCTTCTAGGCAATCACTTCCAACTAAACAGAACATCAAAAATACACACAAAGTTTAGCCATTCAAATCAGTGGACCTATCGTATTCAATTGTCATTAAGGCGAAATATAATAAGCTTTGATTTTGGGATAGAATGAATGTATCAACACTGTCTATATGGGATAAAACCTCGTAGCTTGGTATCATCATCTAATGGTGAGTGAATTAGCAGAGGTATATGTATCAGTCATTAGTTTAAAATAAAATTCTCAGCTAAACGCCAAAACGTACCATTTCTTCCACACATACTTTTCTGTATAGAGATATACTACTTATTAATAGTGAGTAGAATAAGTGTATAATTAAATGAAAATTAAAACGTAATCATTTACATTTGACCACTATGAAAAAAACTACGTTAACCTCTATTCTTATCACTTTTCCACACTAGAAAAACATAAAGTACATCATCAGAAAAATGATAGATTTGCACAAGATGGATTTCGTCGTTATATAAAATGTGAAAATTGTGATTTTCCCGATTGTCAATATTCTGGCGTAATAAACCATATTCATTGTATTCGACCAGGTAAGTTTAGGATTTTATTTTTTTTAATGTACACTTAGCAAACTACACAATAAGCATTCGTTGTTTTTTTGTAAAAAAAATTATACAATTATTGAAAACCTGGAAGTACTGGACAATTGTTTTGTACTAGTATAATAATCTTGATCAGTGCCCATCTACGCCCGACCGTTGTTGCTACCTTGACGTGGTGGTCGGGCTTGCCTATCGTGATGAGGCGACCGAGCCATACTGGCTGGAACAACCGTTCCTCAAGGTCCTACCATGTCAGACAGGTCGGTTGGAGAGCGGTAAGACTAAAAGCAACAAACCCAAGGTCCGAAGGCGAAGTCGTACTGCTGACTGTAAAGAGGTGTGACAGCAGTAAGTTGTTTCCTTCAGACAACCAGCATGACAGCGATGCTGCCTTCCAACAAGGAGGGGTGGGGTTAGAGAAGGTCGACCCTAAAAATGCACACCTCGCCTTATCCCACGGATATCCGTCTCCGGCGGTAAGGTCTCAACAAGTACGGAGCTAACACAAAAATTACACATAAAAAGGTTGTGTGTGACCGACCTCAAGCAGTTGTCTCTTGGGCACTGGGGTCACGCCCTCAGGTCACTAAGGCCACCTCTAATCCGATTTCCTTTTCAGATACCTCCAGAAGAACCCTTTCACGGTGTGGGCGACCAGGAAGTGATAACCGCCCTCATACCTCTAACAGCATTCAAGGCCACTGTATTCATAGTCAACCTCCTCTCCCCCGTCTACGAGTTTTGTTCTCCGAGATGTATAGTTTGGTCGTGGAACTTCTACCTGAAGTTTGTGCTGATGCCATCGTTCATAAGAACGATGTAAGCTCCATCACAAAACCACCCAGCTCAGAGAACATAACTTCATCAAAATCACATTTCATTATTAATCCTTAATTAAACTGATTGTTTTTTTTGTTGTTTTTTGTTTTGAAAATCATCTTATCAGGATGTGATTATGTAATCCATTCATCTAGTCAAATAATGTCACATAAACGAAAACATGATAGACGATTTGCATCATTTTCACCGAAATACATAAATATGTTATGTCATGATGATATCAATCAAACATTTTCTCCATCTAATCAAAACAACCACAACAATAATAATAATAATAATGAGAATGACGATTTAATCAATATTAATGAAAATAAAATCAATAAAATCGATTTCAATATTGATATCCATACAACTGATTTATTAGAAACAAATACATCGATGAATCATTTAAAACAATCATTTCATAATGAATTTCAATTATTACATAATGATTTCAATAATAATTTCAATGATATAATGACTACAAATGATTTATTAAATAAACTATCAAAATTTGTTGCTATGTGTATATATCGACGTGAAAATTGGGAACATATATTATTAAAAATCAATAATTTTGATGATAATTTAAATTATGAACATTTATTATTATATAAAAAAATTGATAAAATTCTTATCTCTATCTATCAATCATATAATCAATATTTAAATAAGTGTTTTTGGCCAGGATGTCATTCAAACATTAATAGTAATACGATTGATACTACCACCACCACCTCCACCACCACCACCACTACTACTACTACTTATAATAATAATAATGATAATAATGGTAGTAATGCCAATAATAATGACGATGATGATGTAAAACAATATGAAGACTCTTCTAAAACATGGTGTAAATATTGGTTATCTCATTTATGGGAAGCATGTTTATCATTTTATGCTTATATAGAATGTAATCAATCAAATTGCCCGATTCAATCCAATAATAATGATAATAATAATGATCATATTCATTGTCGTTTTTGGCCAAAATGTAATTTTATTAATTTATCAAATCAACTAAATTTTCAAATATTATATAAACATTTTCTTTCACATAATGAATATTTAATGACTAATTCATTAAAAGATAATCAAAATCAATATCATGTTACTATGGATACAACATATAATAATTTAATTAATCCAAAACGTAGAGGTAGACCACCAAAATATGCTAAACATATTTATGTACCACATATTAATCCACCTGAATATTTATGTATAGATAATCAATATACTATTGATTTAACATATTCAATGTTTTTTGATCCAATCGATAATAATATTGATCAAAATGTATTACATAATCGCGTTAGCAACTATAACACCATGTTATTACGTAATAATAATAATAATAATAATGAGAAAGAACAAAATCAATTTAAACATATAAAATATGCTATAAAATTATTTTTACCTAATGAAATCTGTCCAGATATGAATTGTCCTTATTATATAACCCATGAACAACATTATCATTGTGTTAAACCAAGATGTTATATGTCTACTAATAAATTAGATTTAATTAATATACATCGTCGTGAATTTCATCAACATACTATTATAGAAAAAGGTTTTGAATATTATGATATTAGTATGATTGTCGTCGTCCATTATGTCATAATAATAAAATCAATAAACATTTTCATTGTATTTATCCAAATTGTGATTATACATTTATACGTTCTAGTACAATGCAACAACATTTAAAAAAACATACAGAAAATTTAAAAACGAAACAAAATATAATCAATAAAACACAAAATATAAATCAATCAATCGTTGCTATGGCAACAAATACATCATCAAGTATAGATATTAATATAATGAATAATAATACTACAAAGTATTATCATTCAAATAATATACAATCAATGAATTCATTAGATCCAATTGATATACATTCTGAACAATTATTATCTATTCCATTATGTAATCATCAAATGAATAATGATAATAATGATGATAATAATAATGTGACAAAGAAGGATTGTACAGAAGATTCATCATTACCTGGTTTACAACCTAATTGGACTGCTTCAATGGTTACAAATGTTAATGATGTGACAATGGGATCGATTAGTTCACCAGTGAAAATAGATTGTTCATCTGAATGTACAAATGAATGTTTATAATTAATAAAAATGTGTGTATATATATATGTATATCTTCAAGGAGTCAATTTATATGTTCGTTAGTATAGAATAAAATCTTGACCAACAATTAACTACCTATCATTAAATCATTAAAAACAGGTATGTAGAGTATACTGTATAAATAATTTTAAAACTTGTACCATTAGTAATCAATTTTCAATATTGTAGTTGTTTATAATCGAGTAAAAATATTATTCTGTTTGATTTATAGAAATAATAATTACAGTATATACTTACTTACTTACTTGGGCTTATTACCTCCGATCGAGCATAGGCTGCCGACCGACGTTCTCCAACCCACACTGTCCTCCAGCTTCCTTCCTAGTTCCATCCAATTCTCGTTCATTCCTCTCATGTCTGTATCCACTTCTCCAAGTAATGTGTTCATTGAACTTCCTCACCTCCTTTAGCATTGACGATTCCAAGTCAGGGAGTGTCTTGTCACGTAGTTCGATGCTTTCCTCAATCTGTGTCCTATCCACATCCAACACTCCCTACTCATTTCCTCATCCACTCCAATCTGTTTTGTTCTCTCCCACAGTAGGTTGTTGCTCATAGTGTCTGGTCAACGGATCTGAAGTATTTTGTATAGACAACTGTTGACAAACACTTGTATCTTCCGAATGATGGTTTTCATAGTTCTCGAAGTTTCCACTCCATACAGTAGAACTGTCTTGATATTTGTATTGAATATTCTGACTTTGATGTTGGTTGATAGTCGCTTCAAGTTTCAGATGTTATCCAAATATAGATATTCTGCTCTTCCCTTGCCAATCAACGCATTCACCGTGATCATCGATGATTATGCCGATATATGTAAATGTTTTTACATCCTCCAAAGCTTCTCTATCAAGTGTGATTTGACTAGTGCATGTTGTGTTGTTTTGGAGACTCTTGCATTTCCCTTAGTGTATATTGAGACCTACTGCTATTGAGGCGGCTGTTAGACAGGACGCCTTCTCTTATATTTGTTGTTGCGCGTTTGGCAGAAGAGTCAGATGATCATCTGAGAAGTCTAGATCTTCCAGATGCATGTAAGATGAAATCTAATTAAAAGTACACACGTTTTCCAATGTCCTAGAGATGATTTATCTTTTATTCAAGAGAAGCTAATTTATATTCTAAAAACAATGATTGTACTCAATGTATTGTGGAACACTAAAGTTGTTTCATTATACACACAATATCCATGATAGATATTCATCAGATGTCACCAATGAATATACAAATGAAGCATTCATGTGTCAGTCATAATTTAACTCTGCGATAAATGGTTGTTAAATCATATTTTAAGAATAAAACCATGGTGTGATAGAATTGTTGAGTTATAAATGCTTGAGGTTTATATAGAGCTTTCAGGTAAGTAGATACATTTTTATACTGAGTTATGATGGGTCAAATCAGGCACTTTTAACTTTTATATATTTTATGATGAAAAGAAAATACATAGACCTCCACCAAAGTAGTGTGTTATTATCAGATTTTTCTCAATAGCAAAATCAATGTATACAATCTTTAGAATCATATTGTCTCGCTTCGCTAGCTTATCTTCTCAGCTTTAAATATATCGAGAATGTTTGTGGAGATTTTGGTATTTTCGAGGTTGAAATCACGAGTCAATCTACTCTAGACCACCATTGATAACTTAAAGCACTGAACGGCTGTTTCGTCCTGGTATTGGACTGCTCAACAGTACGTACCCACTATCGTGCACACGGAATTCGAACCCAGCACATTCGTCATTGCGTAGAAACTCTTGACCTCTGGACCTTTAACTCCACATTCGCGCGCGAGACTGAATGTGGTGGATTCGAATCCTACGCTCGAGATCATGGATGTGCACTGTTGTGGAGTCGCAGGTTACAAAGAAACAATCTTTGTTTAACTAGGGTTATTCCATGATGTAAACTAGAAAAGTTAGCAAGATATCACAAATCGCATTCACTAATCACTATCTTTTAATAACAACCGCTTTTTCTATATTCATTTTGTTTTATTTTTCAGAATTAACTCCGGTAGAATAACTCCCACTACTCTCAGTCAATAATGAATTATTCTTTTGTTGCGCCCAATGAATGTCTATCCGTGTATTACATACATATTTGTGCCACATGAATGATATATGTTCATGACTCAATAATAATTCATTCTTCATTTATTTCATAAATTATTTTTGCTTTTAAATGGTTATTAATGTTTACAAGCTAAACAATAATTAACCATCTTTTAATCAGTATTATTACGACTACTAATTTCATTTTAAGTAGTATTATATGCATATAGGGTGTGTATTTACAAGTGATGTATTTATCATATTAAAAGAATACTTTCATTATTCATAATTTTATTTGTATCCACCGGTTCATACTAAACATATTTCATTAAAAAAGCCTTATTCTATCCTTTTTTCTATTGTGAACATGTTTTTTACTGATTCACTGGTAAACTGTTCCTTTTTTTCTTTCGAATTTTACTAACCTTTTGAAGGACAAGCATGAAAAAGTGTTTGTTTTGTATACAATAATTACAATTTTCAGCTTTTCATTTAATTATTGATTCATAGTATTATTTATTCTCAAATTTTCTTTGACATCTACTTACTACTTATTAATTAAACAGTAGTATTCAGCAGAAGCTTTTAAATTGTGAAAGTACAATGGCGTTAAAACCCTCTTTTTTCCCCTAGTATTACATTTACCGATCTGCCTTTATATATATCCTTTATTTACTGACCATCTCTACCAAACAGTTGCCTTATCGATCAATGGAAAATAACCGAGACCTATTCAACTATTTATTTTACTATAAAAAAAGAATAATTATAATCTTAACATAATCACTCTGAGAACAATGAGGGGAATTATTTAATAATAAGACTTTTGAATTGTTCATAAAATCAATTTCGTTTATTTTTTATTCCTCTTTAAAAATGTCCATTGTTCATGTTCATTCTAAAGTAATTCGATTTTTGTTGTTGTTGTTGCTTTAGTTACTACTTCGTTTTTTATTCATTACCTTGTTTACAATGATTTTTATCTTCTTATCTTTTCTATAAAATATACAAAATAAATATCTTCCGATGAGAAACAAACCATCGCCCCACCCCCACCGATGATAATTAAAAATCTTGGTGATAACTTTTAAATATGACACCTTATATATGTAAACAAACTGTCAAGTGTTTTTCCTAATTTGTATAGTTTAATGTGAATGAATTAAATTAATTATGTGAAAAACTTTATAAGCAAAGGTGGGTAGTAGCTAGCAGTGGAATCCAGGATGTGTGATTCCTCCTATTTGGGACTTGTCAGTTGGATGTACCTGCATCCTAGATGTTCACCCCGGTACCGTCCGATTCAAAGGCCATCGCGTCACCTGCTTATGCAATGGGGTGAAGTTGCTTATAAATCTTGTGAATTAAGGCAATATCGAGGCAACACGCACAGGATTTACATATGTCAATAAGAGATTGATCTATTGTAGTCCTAAACAACAATGAAAAGATACAAGTAAACAATACCAAGTGAATTTATGTGGGAAAATGTTAATATTTAAGTCAAATATCAAACAAATCATGAATTAGAAAGTAACTTCAAAGTTATTACACACAGATCAATCTAGAATGACGTTAATCTGACATCGTAAAACCAAAATGTTAACTGTCGACTAGAAATCACTCACATATGATTGTAGGAATGAAATAATTGTGAATGAGTGTAAAAGATAAGGAAATTGAAGTAATATTTATTAGAGTTGATAATGACAACTACAGTTAAGAAATAATTTAGGGGTTAGTTATGAGTTATAATTAGGATTTAGAATGAGGGTTTAGGATATGGGGTAAAGGTTTATTTTTAAGATTGGAATCAATATATAACAGAATACCTTTGAGATAATTCATATGATTCCCATATAAATTACCCTGATAACTGTTATTGTGTAACTCCCAACGGTATATAAATTTCAGAAGATAATACGAAGAGCTGACTATGGTTTATTGTTGTATAGCGCAGATCACAATTCCACAAACACACGAATTGAGTACAAACTGAAATAAGTATATAATTAAAAAACGCACACACAGGAAAGTGAATAAGCCATTGTGAGATAGATAAATTGTTTCTCAACTAGGGACATCGTCTGTCAAATAAGTCAATTGAAGAGCTTAACAAAATCAAACGAATACAGACTTCAGTGTAAGTGAGGTTGTGACGTGTGCTACTGATGTCGACAGATATAAGTAGTATGTATCATCAATTGAAAATGAAATATCTACAGGTAGAAGGTTAAGAATATTGAAGAAAAGAGAATGAGGACTGAGAATAATTGGTGTGAAAACGAAGAAACAATGAAGTCTGACACGAATGACTGACATTTTGCAAATGAATTATTTACTGTATGGTTCTCAGATTTTATTAAGTTGTCCGTAATTTCATGTTCAGTTACATTCGATTATCCTCACTTGTGTTCTCGATCATTACAATGGTACCATGAAGATTGTTAATTAACAAAATTAAGATATGCTTATCATCAGTGAATGACCTGAATTTGATAAGAAAACATGTACAGTCTTTCAACGACTGGTCCTCTTCTAATAACACGCATAAATAAAAACAAGATAATGAATAAATCCAACGAAAGGGAGATTGTTAAAAAAAATTTAAAAAATGTATTGAATGGCCGTTATTGAGGTAGTATATTCAATGCTTATGTAAAATAAAACCAGAGTAATCAAATCATTGTAAATTTTGGTAAACTAGAAATTCAACTAAAAGTATAGCTTATTTTCAGAATGGGTTTTGTGGAGAGTTTTACAAATTTCACAGGTTGAAATCATGAGTCAGTTGAAGCTAGACCACCATTGAAAACCTGGAAGCACTGGACGGCCGTTTCGTCCTGGTATGGGACTCCTCAGCAGTGCGCATCCACGATCCCGCGTGACGCGGGATCTTGTATAGCTTATTTGTCAGGTACAAAAA